AGCATAATAAATTATGTGCGCCCCCCTTCACGTGAAAGGGATGTCAATGATTATGTACGTGAAAAGTATACATGTAGCATCATCTTGAAAGAATACTAGATGAACTTTAATTTATAATTCCATTTGCTGAAATTCCTTTTAACCATTTGACATTGATAAGTTCTATTCCGCCATTGTTGTCGTATTAATTTAGATAATTTGATATGTGAAAAAAAATTATTTATGTTCAAAATATTTAATTTTTTTCTAGCCAACATCAATATAACCGAATATGACTAAAAAATAAAAATACTTATAAGTTGTAATGTCAAATTCTATCTAATTTGTCCACTAAATTTACACATGGATTAAATAGTTTGATTAATTTAGTTTCGGCGCTTCTAATGCCAATAATCAATCATCAAGCGAATTTGTGGGTTTGTTAGAAAAGATCAAATCATGTGGTAGGTAGGACTATACCCATTAGATTCTATCTTTCCGTGAAGTGGGGGCGAGATATACAGCTAAGCAGAACCTTTAGAGTCAAGCACCTATTTGACCGAAGAAACTTGTTGAGGTTTGCTGCAGCTAAACCATGATTAATGATTTTATATGTAACATTCAAGAATACAATATAGATAGGAATCAAGGTGTTAAATGGGTTGTGTCGAGCTTGCGAGTTGATTTACTTCGTGAATAGCATCCTTATTTGAGACAATTTGTAGTACGCAGTACTATTTAATCATGCTAGCATATTATGCAATATGAGTAAATGAGTATCTACGACAATGTTGTGTAAATTTTCCATGCTAGTACTTAAAATTTTGATGTTTGACATGGCAATTGCATAGAACATTTGAACATGACAGTGATGTTCCCTTTAAGTAAAACATTTGGTGATAGGTAAATGCAACATTAATTAGAATGAAGCTTTGTCATTTTTCACAGAATTCATATCATTTTCAAATGACGCCTCCTACGTAACGTTATGTAAGAAATATATTGAATTATTCAATAATGTAGGGGTATTAAAGAAAATCAGAGCAGATGGATGCTTATTTCTAACATGTCATAGAATCTATTTGTTAATTAATGGAAGTAAACGTTTAGTAATATCATCATGACTCAAAATCACGTGATGCAAAAGTAACGACAAATATAGTGAGGTTGTGAGCTATGCGTCGACTGAGTTTTACCGATGTTAAGGTCTATATAAACTTGTCAAAAGAAAGAAACAAGACAAAATGGCCATTCCCTCGTTTATCTATGTTTTCACACACTCATCAATTGGTGTTTTGGATCAATGGATGTTTCTCATTCAATATCTTGGATTTTGTACCACATTTTAATTCTTGATTGCATTGGACATTTATAGATGTCTAAACTTAAATAAATGAAAAGGAGTGACAAAAAGATATTTGAATAATTAACCTCAAATTTATTAAGAATATAGTGAAGCCAAGTTGCAAAATCTTCTATTGTATTATTAATAACACTCATGGCGACGGTGGCGTAGAGTAACACATCTAGGCATGTAATATGCAACTGTAGTATGGGATCTTCAATCACTCCTGCTTTATGTTTTCAAAAGTTCTTTGACAACAGAGAACTGATAGAGTGAGAAGAGAGACAGAAAAAGTGAGATAAAGTGAGTTGAGTGTTGTGATAGAGAGAGACTGATCTTGTAGCAAGTGGAGTGGGTGTTGTTGAGGTGGCGTGTATTTGATGAGAGAGAGTGTGCTTTGTAACAAAGTATTACACAAATTTTCATCAATTAAATTGTTTCTTTAATATTTGAATTTAACAATTTGATATTAGAGAATAGCAATCATAGACGAATTTTTGAGCTTTTCGGATTCGTGTACAAAGGGAAATTCTAAAGCTTCTATAAAATTTGTTTGATTACAAAGAGGTAAATTAAATCACGATAAAAAACTTAAAAGTCGTAGACATAATGAAAAAGTTCAATAACAAAAAATTATACCACATGACAAATTTACATAGAGTTTTATCTCTAAGGACAAGACCTACAAGAAGTAGTTGACAAAAGTGACATGACACAAAATAATGGTTCTATAAAAGTAGATAATCAAAGCGAGCACAACTATGTTTGTCATAAAGACAACAATCAAGAAAGAATTGTTAGAGCATATAAATGATACAAACACATCAAAAAAAATTTGCTTGCACTAAATATAATCCTAGCTTCGCCCCTGGTCCAATGCCTAGAGATATAATTTCCTTCTATGAGAAGGAGCATTTATCATAGAGCTAATTTTTCCTCAATAATTTGGAGGTGGTGATGAGTGTTGTTTCTACACTTATTTGAGATTCTAAATAAAGATATTTTACTGTTCTTTGAATAAAATGCTACCCAACTTGTGTTGTATTGTATTTTGTAGGTAAAACTCGATATTTGATTAAGAATTGGAGAAAAGAATGCAAAAATAGTGAAAAATGACAAAATCCAAAAGTCAAAGACTAAATTGCAAACAATTTATAAATCAAACATGCAACAAATTGAAGATCAAAGATACCAAGGATTTAATTGGATAGGGACTGAAATCTAAAAAAGTTGTGTTGAACATCAAGACGAAGATTTGAGAGTGTTAGGGGTCAATTGATGAGAAAAGAAGTCAAATGAATGAATTATAGTCAAAATATTATTACATATCAACTTTCAACCAAAAAAGTTATGCTTATAATTTTAGCCTAATATTGAAACTCAATTTTGGCGAAGAAAATATTTGAATTGGAAAAATGATACATCTAGAAGAATTATAGCCCTCTGAGTTAGCTTTTTCATGCACTTTGAAACACCTCAATAGGATATTGGGAGAAAAAATTGTGACAAAAATAATGAAAACTATTTGATTGTTAAAAATTAAGCGAGGATTGTGCCTTTGCCTGCACGAGAGGCGCATGTCCAAATAAAAAAATGAGGCTATTGAAGCACCCAGAACCATCCAAGCAGCTATGTCTAGGCGCCCACCTTAGTACAAAAAGGGAAAATTTTGATATATATATATATATTTTTTTTTTTTTGGTAATAATTCAATGCAATCTTTTTGGCTTCCTTTAAATGCCAAACTCGATCAGAATGTGAAAAACCTCTATTCGACTTAAATTTCATTATATTCTACATATTTTAGAAGTGAAGAATAAGTCTATGCATCAATTCAATGCAAATCATCAAAAGATTTTGAAGATTATAGCCCGATTTGATATTTGAGCCAAGAACATGGATTTCTCCTACTTTTTTCATCTTTCTTATTTTTGTGTGAAGTTTTTCCAATTATTCTTGTATAATTTGATCATAAGAATGTTAGGCTAAGTTTTCATAGTATTGGATGAATGATGAACCCTATTATTGACACATCTCGTCCCGTGTAACACCACTAGATCCAGATGTAGCATGCACCGATGATAGATGCCAACTAAAATTCAGACCCATTATCAATGTTACTACAAATACAATATATCACTTTTTATACATCATTTTTCTAGCAGAATTTCGGCATTATCTTCCTTGTAAATAGGACTAACCAACATGTGATCAATTTCACACAAATTTCAAATTATAGCACAGCACAATAAAGATAAGTCGAAATCTCAACATTTACCAAGAAATAAAATGAAATATACAAAAATACATAGTGAGCCACATAACTATCTACAAGTGATGCAAAATCACATCTAGACATAAACATGCGTTCCAAAATATTGACTACATGTTTTATGAAGTGAGTCATATTAACAAATTCTGTCTTGTGGCTCTGACTTCAAAATCAAAGTTCAACTCCAAAAAATGCCCAAATTCTCAACTGCTACTTGATAAGGAAAAACGTGAAAAATTATATGAGTTGATAGTTCAGTGAGTTGAAAAGTTCAAAATAAATATACTTTTTTCATTTATACATTTTTATTGAAAATCAAACTCATATCATTTGATAATTCACAAGCTATCATCATGTAATTATAGTCAAAAGTAAAATATTCACATAAGGTCATAAAATATCATCTTAAAATCATGATATAACATCAGCTGATAATCATACTATAATCTCATCACATCAAAAGTGCTGAAAAATCTATCAAAAATGTACCATCTAACAAAAATATATAATTCGCTTCTCGAGTTAAGAACTTTCGCCACGGGCCTTTGGCCCCCTCCGTGAACGAAATCCGATCTCAAATACCTCTCATAATCAATCCTAAAATACGGCCAAGGCCTCTCCTTTTGAAGCACTATTGATGGGAAGTGTGTGGTTAAAATAATGCATTCTTGAATAGTGTATTGATGAAAAGTGTGTGGTTAAAAAATAAGAAAATTTTTTTGATTTACATGTAATATTATTTTATTGAAAAATGTGTGTTGGAAATGATATCAAATCACTGTTTAAGAATGCATTTTTTTGTAATAATGTGGCTCAAACAGACCCTAAATATTAATAAACAATCTCGCTATTATAGATGTTGATTGTTGACGGTCAATAGTCAACGTTCTCTCTAACTAGACTTGAATCTTGAATCCACAATTGGTTAGACATAACTAATCTACCTTTAAAACACAACATACCAACTTCACGGGCTCATAAGTATGTTAACATAATAATTAAATGAAAACTTTTAAGAAGAATGATTTGCATCTTCTTTTTGCTTGTTTGTAATTCGGTCATATGAATAATTAAAATCCACTGGAGAAGAGAGAACGGTGGTCACAAAAGGGCAGACAAGTGCCACGCCACCCAACTTGTGGGACCCATAATGAGGTTCTGATCTGGCAAACTCAGTGATGCCAACCTAGCATTTCATTTTTACATTATTGAGAACTGTGGGACCCTCTCCTTCCACAAAGCACATGCCACCCTTTCCATGCAGATTATATATGTAACAAATTCCATTTATCGCTTTATTAATTTCACTCTTTATTTCGTAATTAATTGTCTCCAATTATGCTTATTTTATTAAAATATTACAGCTTCACCGTTTCTCTCTCTCTCTCTCTCTCTCTCTCTCTCTCTTACGAGAAAAAGGGAAAAGACACAGATTTTCCGTTTCTACAAGAATTTTTAGTGTCGGCAAGTACCCGTTGGATGGAAATAAGTGGAAAATTACGGGAGTGATTAATGGGCACTAATTATGGAATTAAATTTGATTAGTAGGTAAATTAAAGAAAATTTAATTGGAGTCAATAATGGCTAATGTGTAGATGAAGACTGTCCTTTTCTTAATTCTGTTTCTGTGCTGTCCCTTCAGCTTTCGATTTTATTTTTAATTTTGTAATTGTAATATATAAATTTTTTTTTCTCCTTAATAGCAACTCATCATCATTCAACCGCATCCTTTTCTTCTCTTTCTCTTCTTACCTATTTTCTTCGCCCAGTTTAGGAGTAGTAGTTCTATCGGGTGAGGTGAATGAAAGCTTGAACTTTGAAGAAGAAGAAAACATGAAAAGGCTAGTAAGTATGTTAATTATTTCACTTAATTTATATTGTTTTTTCCTAAGTTATTGTTATTTTTCTTGGATCAGCTTTGTTTATGAGCCTTTTTTCTTTGTGGGTTCGCTTTTTTTTTTTTTTCCTTCAAAAAAATCAATCTTTTTCGTTAAAACTTGTCAGATTGAGCTTAATTATTGTTTAAAATTGTGGATTCATAGTAACTTAATTTAAATTTGATTTGATCTGCACTATTTTGAATTTGGGTGCTAGTTTACTTCTCTACATCATCTGTACGAGTCAACTTACTGTTGGATACTATGTTTAATTATGTGATTCCAGTGAATAAAAGACTCTGCCTTGACAGTGAAAGAAATAATTTTTGCAGGGGTGCAAGTAGATTTTCTTTCTTTTATTCATGAATGTGGATTCTTCGGATTTATTTGTGTTCTCTTTCCTGGATCTTTTGATTGTGCTAGTATCTAGTTACCATTGTTACCATTTTTGGAATACCACATTCTTATTTATGATATTAATTCGTGATTTTACTTTGTTTTCCTGCCTAACTGGATATTCAATTGTTAGTAGTTTGCGTTAAATCCTGCGTGTTCAAATATAGGATTTTTGTGGCATTCGGAGAAAACTTATATAACTTATGGTGTCCATATGTTAGTTGTTGGTCAGGAGGGAAAAACATGGTTTTTTAGAAAGATTTCTCAAACTTTTTATACCCAAAAGAGTTTCATAGGTTACTGATTTTTCCTGGAGTTGTTAGTTTCTTCTATTTTCCTTGTTCTGAAAAGTAAAGATTAAAGTGGAGAAAACAAGAACGTTGGATGGATTCATGACTGTCATTCATGGCAGTTTATGAGATTCAAAAATAGGAAGCTATCAAATGTATTACCTCTTTATGGATTCCTCTTTACCTTTTTCTTCCCCCATTTTTCTCTCGTTCCTTTTTCAGGTATTTTTTCTTTTGCTCCTGGCATTGAGTCATGCAACAAAATACAATGGAGTATGCAATTCTGACTGGCCGTTGACACCGAGGCCTCACAGCGTGTCTGTCTCGGAATTTGGAGCAGTTGGAGATGGAAAAACATTAAATACTCTGGCATTTCAGAATGCCATTTTCTATCTTAAATCCTTTGCTGACAAGGGTGGTGCTCAACTCTATGTTCCAGCAGGCAAGTGGCTTATTGGAACCATCAACCTTACCAGCCACCTCACACTTTTCCTGGAAAAAGACGCCATTATTCTTGGCTCTCAGGTATCATTCTAATACCAATTTTCGTAACCCCTTTTAGTGATAATGCAAAACACAATTTGCATGTTAATCTGGGAAGACAGTGATATGATACTATTTAAGTAGACACGATCTATCAATTGTCATCTATTACTCACTGATGTTCCTCATAAATTGACATCAAGAAGACTGAGTCCGAGGTTGATGCTTGGGCTCATCCAACATTCCCATTTGCAGTGCTGTTGTTATCAGTGCTGCCAAAAATGGCAACGGGGACTGCCCCTGAGGCCCCTCTGACAGTCACGTTGGAGAGAAAAGGGGAGTAAGTATATCACTTACGTAAATTGTAGGATATAATTCCAAACCTTTTTGCATTGCCCTTTTATTAAATAGTACAGGTGGTTTTTATAGTTGGGAGTGATTTTAGTAATCTCTTATATTATTGAGAAGATTGGGAGAGAATGCCTTCACTCATGGTTTGCATTCTCCATAGTAGAAACCAAATGTCTTTATCTACTGATTATATATCTCGCTCCTTTAGAAGATATTAATGTTGTTAATGCTCTTTGTATAAGTTATATGTGTAATACTGTTTTCTGACATTCTCTTTGCATTGTGTGATCTGTGTTCTCCACTTTATCATGCTTTGTAGAAATTCTCTTTCTATGAGGCTGCTTAAAATGAAAACTTCTCAAGACAACTTTAAATACAAAAGATAAACAGAATTTAGTATCCCTTGAGCATGCTGTCTCTCTCATACATTATTTACTAATTAAAGGAGCTATCTTAGATTTGACAGCAAAGTATTTTCATTAGATGAGTTTTCAATATTCTATTTTTGGTGGTTATAATATATCCAAGCTCATATATGAATTTTTGGTCTTCTACCCAAACAAGATGGTGTTTTGGCAAGTGGTTTAATAAAAAAAAATGTTATATAAACAAATTCTCACTTTTCAGTGGTTTCCCTGATTCCAGTGGCCCTACCTCCCTCTGCCACTGTTTTCCCCCACCTCGACCTTATCACTATTGTCACCGCTGCCATTTCAACATTTCTAGCAATTTCACATGTAAAAGAAATGTTCTATGATGAAAGCGAAACAAAGCAATAAGTTGAGCGACTAATGGTTATTTTTAACTGTAGTTTCTATTTTCTCGCCTTTTATTGTATCCATTCTTGTGCAATATCCCTATTTTCTACCTACTTTACAGGTGACAATGCAACTATTGATGGCCAGGGTTCAGTTTGGTGGGATAAATTCAGTTCTCATTCCCTAAATTACAGTCGGCCACATGTAGTAGAATTCATAGACTCAAACAATATTGTTATATCAAACTTAACGTTCTTAAACCCTCCTGCTTGGAACATTCACCCAGCTTACTGCAGGTTGCTTGCTAAACTTTCTGGAACGTCTTGCTTTTTTTTCCCCAAAGCATATCAAATGTGTTCGTTTTAAAATGTTTTATTTGATTGTGTCTTGTGATGCAGTAAAGTGCTAATTCAGAACATAACAGTCCATGCTCCTTCTGACTCTCCATACACCAGTGGGATAGTCCCAGGTCTTTTGAAAACTCTGCTTAAATCACATGCATGTTTTCATTCATGTTTTGTTTGAGAATATATTTAGATGACAAGTGTGTTCAATTTGAAGAAGTGATTATTATTGTTCAAGTTGGATGAATTTAGTTTATGACTTTTCACATATCTCAACTCAAAATAATTCTGATGGCAAAACCCATGCTAGACTTCATTTGCCAAAAAAGAACCCTAATGAAAAAGATAGATGTATTTTAACTAAGTTTAAAAAGTTTACTTGTAAGTTTACCTCTAAACAAATGGCTAAATTTTAAAATAATAATTATCTTGTTGATCAAAGTTGGAAGTAACTATCTTATGTTGAAAGCAATCCCTATCTTATGGTCAATATGAATAAATTCTGCACATATAGAATGAAAAAGTTAATCCATCTGAACATGGCTAGAAATAACTACGTTTGCTGGCTCACAAGGTTTCAGGATAGGTCAAACTGTTGGAAGAAAATGGAAAGGAAACACCAAATGTGATCAAATAAACTAGCAACTAATCACTAGATACGTAAAATAATATTTATAAGTTATATGCTTAGCTTAACAGGAGGCTAATGAATGCTTCCCAATTGCTACTTTAATTTTTGAAATTTCACTTTGTCCTGTTAGGCTTCCTATTCCATTATTGTCATGTATCATAAAACAATGAAATGTGATTTCCAGACTCCTCCGAGCATCTTTGTATTGAAAACAGCAACATTAGTTTGGGTTATGATTCTGTTGTGCTAAAAAGTGGCTGGGATGAATACGGCATTGCATACGGCAAACCAACCACTAATGTCCATATTCGAGGTCTACACTTGCAGTCTTATTCTGGCTCTGCCATGGCTTTTGGTAGCGAGATGTCCGGTGGAATTTCCAGTATACTGGTTGAGAACCTTCATGTGCTTGACTCATTGATTGGAATCGAGCTGAAAACTGTAAGAGGAAGAGGAGGCTACATTAAAGGAATCTACGTATTGGATGTGTTCATGGAAACTGTACAACAAGGAATTAAGGTCACAGGTCAGTGGGGGTCACATCCGGATGACAAGTTTGATCCCTCTGAGTTGCCTGTGGTCGGTGAAATTACCTTTACAAACATAACTGGCATAAACATTACTACAGCTGGGTATTTTTCTGGTATTGAGGAGTCTCCCTTCACTTCTATATGTCTATCCAATATTTCTTTCTCAGTTACCTCTGACCCATCAACATCATGGGTTTGCTCTGATGTGTCGGGTTCATCCAAAAACGTCTCACCTGAACCATGTCCAGAATTTCAGAGCTCAGTTTCTACTTCTTCTTCTCATTGTTCCTTCCTTTCATATCCAAACAGACTAAACAGTCAAGTCGCATATTCTTGATTCAGAGTGCCCTGAAGCTCAAATACTCGTTCGTTGATCTGTACAATGCGATACAACATTTCCTCGACCAGTTATGGTGGATAATCTTTCAATAATTTGTGAATTGGAATCTTCGTTCTCGTGCCTTTTCAAGCTTTCATCAACAAACCTCTAGCATGCTGCAAATTCTTCCAAGTGGTGTCCGCTTATATTCCCCTTGTGTACAGTGTCGTTTTCCTTCATTTGTGTGTAAGAAAAGTTTTGGTAGTGCAGAACACTCGGATACTTCTTTCTTTCAGCATTATTCATTTCATTAACATTGTAAATTCGGGTGGGGGCTGACACGGTGTCATGATTGAAGATTTATATATATATATAAAGTTGGAAATTGCAATAAAAGTTCCTTCGCATTTTTCGATTGGATTAAATGCATCTTAAGTTATTGTACGTTGTCTCGTGTTCGGGAATTTTCTTGTTTATTTTGGCTTAAAATGTTTGATTTGAGCTTCTTTCTTTGTCAACAATGATGACCACATCTCATGTTTTGTTTGAGCCCATTCACATTTGATTGCTGTGATGTACTCATATGGGTACGATACACACTCTTAACAAAACGGAACTCATACGAGAGATATAGCTGTTTTGTGACCGTGACTGATGTCTGAGAAACTTTATTTGTACTGAGAGGAAAGACGTTCTAAAAGGAATCTGACTTCATATCCATCTGGGTTTTTGATTTCCAACTATAAAATTTATCTTTTTTTGTATTACGTTCAAATATAGCTAATTAGATCATTAGAAAATATAGTAGATTCTGAAAATAACAAATGCCCTTTTATTTTCACATGAAAGTTCTTATTGATAATGGAAATTCTAGTGAACATGAAACAACGGAAAAATTAAAGAGAAGCCATTCTTCTTCTTCTTTTTTTTTTTTTTTGGGTGCTCCCCTGCTCCCTGACGAGATTCACTGAATTCAGAAGGAAATCCTGCTGTTTCAGTGCCATCCACCAATCACCATGTCCATTAATAGCCTCTGAAGATCCTCCAAACTGTTCTCTTCCCATGAACAAAAAACATTAATTTTAGCAAACATGGTAAAACAAACATTTTCAATCTCAAACTTTGTCGTGTAAACAAGAAAAGGATTATTTAGAATAATGTGCACGTGTTTGACAGATACATGAGAGTTTTCGCTGTAAATCATCATTCATCAAAGACATTTTTTGGAGGAATTCGCAAAAACCCTATGCACGGAATGGAATGATAATTCTTCTAATTACATGTCAAACTATTCTGAAACATAATGCATGACTGCTGTACTGTATTGACGCGAATGGACAGCATAATACAATCTTTAATCTTTCTTCCTTAGTTCAATTATCTTTTCTTCTTCACATGAAGAAATCTTTTTATCTAATGGGATGATAATTTATCCAAGGTTTTGTCGATAGGTCTGAAATATTACTGGGCAACTTGACTGGATTGAGTCGAGTTCAGCCTACTAAACAAAATATATTGAATTTCACTTATGAAAGTGATCAAGCTGAAGTCTGATGAAGTTTTACAGAGATCTTTGGCTCAGCTTACATAATGGAGGCTATTCTGGGAATTTTCTTTCCTGTCATTATCGTTTTTTTATTGTTGCTCTTTGTTGAGCTGTTTTGTATTGTGTAGCTTTCCTATTGGTTGAGTTTGTTATGTACAGATTTTTACCCTTGTTTCACATCCTCATATTTTAAAAGAATTCAAGTGTGAAGATTAGAGGAGGAGGAGGAAATAGATATATGAACTTAAGAATTCTCCATTTGAAATTATAAGAATCGAATGAATTGATTATTCTTAGGAGCAGCCTATATATACACTACCTATACAACAGCCTATGACCCACTACAAAAGGAATATACACCTGGTCTCCGAGGAGGTCAAGAAATCCAGCATCATAGATTGATCTCTTTCCCTTGTCGGATAAAACTGCAAATAAATGGCCGAAACTCCATAATTATATTGCCAAGCCAACTAATCAAATTATCAAATCCATTATCTTGATTTACTCACCTGAATATGCTTCTTGAATTTGTTGAAACTTCATTTTAGCTTGGGGCGAATGTTGGGATCCGTGATCCACTTGTCTTGGTGCCATTTCTGCAAGAACAAAACCAAATTATCATAGGTAAAGCTGTTTGTACACACCCGATGTACA